TGACCCTAGGTCTAAATATCAGTGGGTATTCAGGCTCCACCCTAGACCTCTTCCATTTTTTCTATCTTCTTCCTAAAAGATCTCATGTGTCTCATGGCTTTAAATACTATTTAAATTTGTTATCAGTTGTCCTGACTTCTCTTCTGAGCAGCAAATCTGTGCGTAACGATGTATTTACACCAGGTCTGACATAGCACACGCTTTCCTTACCACACACAGAAGTACACATGCAAGCTTTAATGCACACGTGTGTGCACACATGCACACACATGGCCCATTTCTTCCCCAGGCCTTCCCATCTTACTTCATGGTAATTCCCTCAATCAGGTAACTCAAGTGAAAAGCTTAGAAGTAATTACTGGCTCCTTCCATTTCTTTAATCCTACATCTAATACAATAGCTTATCAATTCTCCTAAAATGTATTTCAAATGCATCTACTTATCACTGCCTCTTTTGGAACCAAGTGTCATTTTTACCCAGAATTGTGTAATTCGCCCAACTGCCAGAGCATTCTTTTAAAAGAGCAAATGATGTCCCATGGCTGCCTTGCATGAACTCCCCAATGACTTCCACTCAGGGAACCCTCCAAATTTCTTGTGGTAGCCTAAGAAATCCTGTGCCATCCCTCCTATTCTTCTAGCTTATCTCATACTTACTTCCCACAGCCTGATCGCAGTTGCCTTCTGCCTCTCCCTAAAGCCTACTGACTCCAGTGTGGCTACCAGGCCTCTGCTTCAGGTGCTTGGCTGGATCCTCCTCATCCTGCAGTCACTATTCCAGTCTCTCCTCCATAGGTCTCTCTCTCTCTCTCTCTCTCTCTCTCTCTCTCTCTCTTTCTCTCTCTCTCCCTCTGTGCCAACATGCAACCTAAATGCCATGTGGAGGGGACATGACACGTTCCTTCCTCTTTCAAGTGCATTGAATTGTCACTCCACTCCATTTCCTTCTCAGTACCATCTTACTTATTTCCTGGTATTTATTCATGGTCTGTCTCCTTTGATTGGAATATAATATGTGGGGAAGGGAACTTTGTCTCCAGTGTTCACAGATGGATGCCCCATGTCTAGGACTGTACCTTAAGGAATATGATTAAGGAATATGTGTAACTATCTTTCAAAAGATTACCCATCAAGCCAGGCTGCTCAAGAGACTGAGCTATGAGGATCACAGTTCAAAGCCAGCCCAGGCAGCAATGTTCATAAGACTCTTATCTCCAATTAACCACCAAAAAGCTAGAAGCAGAGATGTGGATCAAGTAGTAGAGCGCTAGCCTTGAGAAACAAAAATCTCAGGGACAGCACCTAAGCCCTGAGCTCAAGCCCCAGGATTGGCACACACACACACACACACACACACACACACACACACACACACACACACACACACACACACACACACAGCTTATGAAATAGCAAGGTCCTAGTATTAAAGCATTTAATTATAATGCTCATTCTCTCTCAAATATCATTATTTGCCTTTTAACATGTTTCCTGACCAGCCTCTATAATAATATACTAATGTATTATTATAGAATATAACATCATATATATCTTATATATAATGTGGATATGTGTGTGGGCACACACACACACAGCCAGGCACCTGCACACACTCACACACATCCTTCGCTCATTTCAAATGATCCAAGGCATTCAGGTAAAGCTCCTTACAAACAAATAATGAGCTAACTATATCCTATTCTCCAGAAAATGTTTTGCCTAGTTAGTTTTAAAGATGGTTTGAAGTGTGTGTATGTGTGCATGTGTGAATATCCTGTCTTCCATTTTAGGTAAGTTGTGATCTACTCTGGTCTTTACACCTGATTGTAGAAAGATGTGGAAAGGGCACAGTGGCTCTCAGGACAAGTCATCTAACTAAGCAGTTCTTATCTCACTCTGGAATTCTGTCTTGCATCCTGGGATTTGGGGGTAATTTCATTAGGAAGAAGGCCAAGTTCGAGAGAGAGAGAGACAGACAGACAGAGACAGACACAGAGACAGAGACACAGAGAGACAAAGATCATCCCATGTGGTCTTATTAGAGATGAGTCTTTTCCATTGCTCCCTATCCAGCAAGTGTGACTCTCATCTGCTTTTATTGTGGAGTGTTAGCTGTAATGTATCCTGTGTTTTTGCCATTTTTAGATCTTGAGTTCTTTTTAACCTGTATTGGTGTTAAGTCTTAGGAGTTTAAATTGTTTGTTTTTTCAGATTGTAAAAGATAATTTGGCATGGTTCTTATTTGCTTTTGATAATTACAAGTAAAACCACTTGCATAGAATAACTAGTACAAAAGTCTGTCTTCAGGGAGGTCTGATTCTCAGTGAAGATCCTCTGATCTGCAGGATATGCACTTGTAGGCATTGCTGAAGGAAACTAAAGGAGTTGAGGGAGTAAATTCATGGATGGGGATTCTCCAGTGACAATTAGGTCCTAACAGTGGGCAGTCTTACATTCATTCTCCACTAGAGGCATGAAGCCACAGAAAGGCTAAGTCTGGTTACAACTTAGCCAAGGTGTAAACACCTTAGGAGCGCCCCTGGTTTACTGTTTGTTTTTTTACCTGTCTCCGACTTGCTTGAAGAAGACTCTCAAAGTTAACATTCAAATATTCTTCTTCTCTGGGCAGGCTTTGCAGCTAGGCACATTTCTATATGATGACTATCGGTTCTGAAAGGAAAGTGAACTTCTTGCTCTCTGTAAATGAATTTAAGGAGTTGAAACTCGAATCTTCTCTCATAACCTAGGAAAATGACTTCTGAAAACCTCCTTTACATGATTGTTACCGTTTCTTGCCCATCTACTAGGATACCAATTATTTAATTATTAAATATGATTGTTTTAAGTCAGAAGAAACTGTCTGGAAATTTTTAGTTCCTTTTATCTAGTAACCATCAGAGAGTATTTTCCAAAGTTCTCTCTGGGGTTATTTTACTATCGTTGGTGAAAATAAAATAATGGAGAATAAGCATATTTTTCTGAAGACACTAAAGGCTGGGATAATTATTTCGGTTTATTAAAGGATTGCTGGCATCAGAAGCTCATCCCTCTAGTCCTAGCTTCTCAAGAAGAAGCTTGAGATCTGAGAATTGAGCTTCAAAGCCACCTGGGAAAACAAATGTGAGAGATTCTTACCTCCAACTGACCAGCAAAAAGCCAGAATTGAGGCATGATCAAGCACCAGTTGTGAGTGGAAAAAGCTAAATGAAAATGTGAGGCCTGGAGAAAAGCTGTCACACACACAATATTAAATATGCATAACTTAGGATGTATTTTAGTTTCCTGCGCTATCCCCTAAAAGTTTTACTCTAAGATTTTTTTATTGTAAGGTTCTATTTTTACTTATATTAAAAAAAAATGTGGGGAGCCGGGCACCAGTGGCTCATGCTTATAATTCTAGCTACTCAGGAGGCTGAGATCTGAAGATTTCAGTTCAAAGCCAGTCAGGGCAGAAAAGTCTGTGAGACTTTCATCTCCAATTAACTGCCAGAAAACCAGAAGTGGTGCTGTGGTTCAAGTGGTAGAGTACTCACCTGGAGCTGAAAAGCTCAGGGACAGCACCCAGGCCCAGAGTTCAAACCCCATGACTGACAAAAAAAAAAGTGGAGATTTTTTTTTTTTTTGCTCCAAACTCAACACATCATACATGTTAATTACATGCTGTTTTAAGTATGCCAATTATGCTTCATTACAGGCAGGAAAAAATATGAATATCTGCTCTCCCTCAAATAAATCTAAAACCAACGCAAGCATGTATGCTGATCGCTGAAGGCCTTCACCACAGGCTTTTTCCATTTCCCCAGACTCTGACCTTACTGTGAAAGGCAAACAACGGGGGGGGGGAAAAAATGGAAGAGGCACTGTGGCTCAAATGGTAGAGCACTAGCCTTGAGCAAAAGAAGCTAAGGGACAGCACCCAGGCCCAGAGTTCAAGTCTCAGAACCAGAGCAAACAAAAAGAAAAACTACAACAACAAACAAAAACTCACTTATTTTTATTTAAAATTTGTAACGCAATGAAGTAACCACAGGGTCTTTCTAGGATATTATGAAATTTTATTTTCTCTAGTTCTTCCTCTGAGGTCTGTCCTAAAAACTGAATGTTGTTACAACAACGGGTGACAAAACAAAAGCAGACGAAAAGGCCTACCCACGCTTCACTTTGTACTTTGCTTTAAAGTACAAAGTAAGTTTCAAACAAGCACTTTACCTCTGGAGCCACGCCCTCAGCCCTTCTCTTAGTTTTGATACCCCTATAATCTCTGTCTCTAGGTCAGTGTAAGTTCCTGCCAAGGTACCCTTTTGCTAAGCCTAATAATATTGGGAGTGATCAGTCTGAGTTTGCTGTTGGCACAACTTGGGAATACAAATGCCTCCCTGGCTTTACCAAGAAGTCATTCTTTATCACCTGCCTAGAGAATTCCAAGTGGTCAGATGCTCAACAGTTCTGTAAACGTGAGTAATCCTTGTCACTCTCCATCTCGTGTCCTAGAGGATCTAGTCCAGATAAAAGACTGACACACTAGTAGCTCATGGCAAGCAAAGGGTGCTCCCAGGGTCTCCATGTTTCCTTTTATTTCAGAGTGCGCTATTAATTGGGTTAAAGTCATTACCACTGGCCAACCCTGTATGTCTTATTTTCTCCATGACTTCTTTCTGATCATCTCTTCATTCTGCAATGTCTTAGGATGAGGTAAAAAAGTTAGTCTACAAAGTGTCAGCTGGACACTGGTGGCTCCTCATGCCTATAATCCTAGCTACTCAGGAGGTTGAGATCTGAGGATCACTGTTCAAAGCCAACCCAGTCAGCAATGTCCATAAGACTCTTATCTCCAAATAACCACCAAAAAGCCAGAAGTAGAGCTGTGGCTCAAGTGATAGAGTGCTAGCCTTCAGCTTTCAAACAAAAAAAGCTCAAAGACAACACCCAGGCCCTGAGTTCAAGCCTTATGACCTAAAAAAGAAAGGGGAGGGGGGGGAAAAAAGAAAAAGAAAAGTGTTAATTCAGTTCATTCTTGTACCACTCAATTCAATAAATAGTTTTGAATGAGTAGTAGGTATGATACATGAAATTAAACAATAGGGTTTGGGAAAACCAAATAGTTGGGTAGTTTTACCTTTTAGGAATTTCCTACAATCAGTAATGACTGATTTTTAAATACATGTTGTACATATCATTTATTTTTAGAGGAAACATGGCCTAAGATCATAGAAAAGTAAGTAGTTATCTAGAAACATTAGGGAAATCTAGTTGTGGGCAGAAGACACTTTTTGTGTACACAAAAGCTTATAGGTGGGAAGGAATATGATGTCTAAAGAAAATAGACCAAAAAAATCAGTATGGTAGAGTCTACTTGGTTAGGAATAGTGATAAGTATACTAGCATTTAACTATATAATAGGCGGTATATATTTCCTAGAAACAGTTGTAAACCATTGTATGTGTTCCAATGTGGGTATGATGTGACCTCATTTGTGTACATTCTGTGGAGGGTGTACTCACACGAGGGTGACCTGAGTTTTACATGTGTAGAATTATATCACTCAATAATCCAAATGAGAGACTACAGCAGTGGCAGAATAACCAGACTCCTGTCAGTCAATGTGGTGAGCGAATAAGGGCCAGGGGTCAAGGGTGAGTGTCAGAAAGGAAAGGATGACTGCGAGGTTGCTTTGATCCAGGAGATTTGTTAGGCGATGCCATCCATGGACATAATAAGAAAGAGGGAAAAATGGAGATTCTAAGTTATAATCAACCTCAAGTACAGTTGTGCATCCAGCTACAGAAACATACGCTTAAAACAAAGAGGATTCTAGAACCGACTGATCCATAAAAGGTATGAATTCTTTAAATATTAAAAAATTATATTTGAGGGCTGGGAAGGTGGCTTAGTGGTAGAGCACTGGCCTAGTGTGTATGAAGCCCTGGGTGCGATCCCTCAGTTCCACATACACAGAAAAAGCTGGAAGTGGCACTGTAGCTCAAGTGGTAGAGTGCTAGCCTTGAGCTGAAGAGCTGAGGGACAGCGCCCAGGCCCAGATTTAAGTAGATTCAACTATTGGGGAACCAAATTCCCACCTCATTAGGATTTAATACAAAACACAAGGTCTTCTGGATTCTAGTCCCCAATTCTCTTTTGTTTTGTCTTGTTTCCCCTTATAGGCAAATCATGTAGGAGGCCCCAAGACCTGCTCCATGGCTCTGTGCGTACACCCATGGGGATCGAGTTTGGGTCAACCATTACATTTTCTTGTAACAAAGGGTGAGTTGGCAGTAGACATCTCCAGGATATATGCAAAGTAGAATATTAATTCTAACCAGAAACTATCCATTCCTGAGAGTCAATGCTATCCACCAATCCAAAAGAGACTCAGGTCCTTACTTCCTACCCTTTAAAGTTAAATAAGCAAAATATGGTGTTATCACCCTAATCTGCTCCAGAAAACAACTCGAGAAAGTCCCCACAGAAAATGGAGAGGGGGCTCCTCTTTAGTTTTAACTGTCCTATGCTATTGATGATGTCAAATGTCCTTTGGCTCTAAATTATTGAGTCTTTGATTTTTTTCACCACTACCTGTTACACATTCTATTCTTTTATATCTTATTTTTTAAAGAAAAATTGAGGCCTTTCTAAAATGTAAATGATGTCAGGCACTGGTGGCTCATGCCTGTAATCCTAGCTACTCAGGAGGTTGAGACCTGCGGATTGTGGTTTGAAGCCAGCCCAAGCAAGCAAGTCTACATGACTCTTCTCTTCAACTAAAAGCAGAATGTAGAGGTGGCTCAAGTGGTAGAGCAACAGACTGGACTAAAAAAGTCAAAGGAAAGTGTGAGGACCTGAGTTCAAGCTCCATTACTGGCACCAAATAAACAAACAAATAAAATAAGACTCAAGTGTAGCTCAGAGGTGACCACACATTTCTCTGTCCCTAGATATCAACTCATTGGTGACTCTTCTGCTACGTGCATTGTCTCAGACAATACTGTAGTCTGGGATGCGGATATGCCTTCTTGTGAATGTGAGTAAAACGATTTCTTTATGGCACTCTATTCAATTCCTCTTGCACTCCTAGAGAGTCGCTGGGCATCTGCATCAACCTGAGTCCCCTAGGAAGGCTTCACTAGTTTTGGCACAGAGCAGTGATTTATTTTCCTCTGTGACTTCCTCATCTCACCACACTTCCCTCTCCCTGCTGACCTGTGAGGAAAAGTGACTGCATAAGGAATAAATTCCTAGCTCTAAAATAGATCATGAGCTCACACACAGCCTCATTACCATGCACAAACTAAGTCAGCCTCACTGTTTCCCGTAGGCGTTTATCCATCCGCTGGCTGGGGACTAGTGACCAGCTTATCTACAGCCTTTAGAGGCTTCATCGTTCAGAGTCCCATGCATTTTCCTACCTGGATCCTTTCCATTTAGGATCACCTTTTAACTCAGGACACACAAGTTCAATAAGATTGATCAATTGTAGGCTCAGCGGAAGCCTGTGCAGAGAAAGTTCTCAGGGATTATAACATCTAAATGCCTTCTCTTTTCCTACCTGCCCCCACCTAAGCTATTCTGTGTGAGCCACCCCCATCCATCTCCAATGGGACCTTCTTCAGCACCAGTAGAGAAATCTTTCCCTATGGAAGTGTGGTAACATATCACTGCCACATTGGACGACATGGGGAAAAGCTGTTTGATCTGGTGGGTGAGAAATCGATATATTGCACCAGCAAAGACAATCAAGTTGGCATCTGGAGCAGCCCACCCCCGCAGTGCATTGATTTAGTCAAGTGCCCAAGGCCAGAAATTAAAAACGGACATATAGAATCTGGATTTAGATGGTCATTTTTCTTAAACGATTCAGTGATGTTTGCATGCAAGCCTGGCTTTACTATGAAAGGCAGCAGCATTGCATGGTGCCAACCAAATGGCAAATGGGACCCTCCACTGCCAACTTGCTTCAAGGGTAAGTTGAGCTGATACTCCGGGTTTCTTAAAATAAAATTAGGCTTTTGGCAGAATAGAGACAGGTGCTGATAGGCGTAGTAGGATCGTGAGAGTTATGTATGGCTGAATTTCGTGGCTAATGAATTTGAAAATGAATTTGGGAAGTAATATCTAAGTGTTGAAGAGATAAGAAATTTTATTGTTGTGGAACAGTATTGCATCTGTGTTGTTGTAAGGGAAATTAGTAAAGCTTTTGGGGTTGTTTTTTGTTTTTTTTACAAAGCTGTCAAAATAACTTGAAGGCTCAAAAATGTAAGACACAAAATGGCTAGAAAAAACATAGGTGAACCATTTCAGGTCATTGGGATCAGTTACAAGGTTTTAGAAAACAACTCCCCAAAACATAGGAAATGAAAGTAAACATGGGAAAATAAGGGTACATCAAACCAAAAGGCTTCCACAGGGGACAGGTGTTGTGACACACACCTGTCATCCCAGCTACGCGTGGAAGGCAGAGAGGGGAGGATTGTGGCTTGAGGGTAGCTAGGTCAAAAGAGTTAGTGAAACCTTATCTCAAAAAATGAGCTACAGACAGACAGAGCGAGAGATAAAAGCTGTGAGGCCTTACCTGGAAAGTATACTAAAACAAAGAGAGCTGGGGAGATGGCTCATCACACCAGTTAAAGAGCACTGCCCTGGTAGATATGAGGTCCTAAATTCTGCACAACAGAAGGAATGATAGAATAAAGCGGGAACATATAGAATGGAACAAAGTATCTGCAAGCTACATAACAAGGGGTGGCTATCCAGAAAACATAAGGAACTCAAATAACTCAGTAGCAAAGAAACTTAAATAACCTCATTTTAAAACATATGAATAGAAACCAAAGGAATAGCCAAGAGCTATCTAAGAATTCTCGACAGCATGAGTCATGAGGATAAAAGCAAATCAAAACCATAATGAGATCTTCTCACCTGATTAGAATGGCTGCTAATCAGAAAAAGTACGGCCAGGACAATGGAGGATTCGGAGCAGAGGGAATCTTACACACAGTGGGTGACCATGTAAATTGGTACAGATGCTATGAATAACAGTATGAGGCTCCTCCAAAAGTTAAACATAAAGAGAGCCGCCTCATGACCTGGCAAAGCTCCTTCTGGATAGATGTCAAGTGAAATGTAATCAGAATGCTGTAGAGATCACTGCACTTTCTTGTACACCGAAGTATCGTTCATAGTAGCCATGAAAGACAAACAACCAAGTGTCTATCAATCAAGGACAATGTCATATATACACACAATGGAATAGCAGGCAGCCATGAAAAGGAGTGAAAGTCTGGCATTGACTACAACATGGATGGAGCCGTAGCTTATTATATTAAGGGAAATAAGACAGGCACAGAAAGGCAAATACCATGCATTACAACTTGCATATAGAATCTAAAAATGGTGGTCTCATAGAAGAACAGAAGCTGGGGAGAGCAGTAGGAAAGATCTTGATGAACAAGCATTACGTTATAGTCAAATTGAAGAAATAAGTTCGTGTGCTGTCTTGCACAGTAGCACAGCTGTGATTCATGATAATGAATCTGTGTACTTCAAAAAGGCCAGAAGAGCTGGGCACTGGTGACTCAGACCTGCAATCCTAGCTACTCAGGAGGCTGAGATCTGAGGATTATGGTTCAAAGCCAGCTTGGGGAGGAAAGGCTGTGAGAGTCTTACTTCCAATTAACCACCAGACTGGGCTGGGAATGTGGCTCAGTGGTAGAGCGCTTGCTTTGCATGCATGAGGTCCTGGGTTTGATTCCTCAGCACCACATAAGCAAAAAGAAAAAAGCCAGAAGTGGCGCTGTGGCTCAAGTGGTAGAGCACTAGCCTTGAGCTGAAGAGCTGAGGGACAGCGCCCAGGCCCAGAGTTCAGGCCCCATGACCGGACCCAATAAAAACCCAAAACAAATCCAATTAACCACCAGAAAACCAGTAGCAGAGCTGTGGCTCAAAGTGGTAGAGCACTAGCCTTGAACAGTAGAGCTCAGAGACAGTGCTCAGGCCCCAAATTCAGGCCCTATGACTAACAACGAGGAAAAAAAAAAGGCTAGATGAAAAAAATTAAGGTTTTACAACAAAGAAGTGATAGAAGTTTGAGAAGATAGATGAATTTGCCCTAAGTAGAATATGATACAATGTATTCATGTGTTTGTAGAGTACTAGGTATTACATAAGTATGCATGTTTATATCCATTAGAAAATATAAATAAGTGCCAAAGCCAGTAATTAGATATAAAAATGACTCAACTAGATTAAATGAGGATATAATGAATTCTCAATCCTATTGGCCATCTCAATGGGAGAAACTGAAATAAGAATTTGATTCAAAATAATTTACACATTAAATATTCTCATATCAAAGATAATGTAACCCTTATGGAAGAAGGCGAGTAGTCAGATGAAATCTATGCCCACCATTTACCCCCTCTCTCCTCTTATTGTATAATTTTTGACTTTCTAAAAACCTGGCAGTATCGGGAACGCCTTTCACAAGGCTCAGAAATCTCCTTCACTTTGTTTGGGGAGCAGAAAGGTAAAGCTAGATTTAGGTGGAGAAGATGTGTTACGCAAGTTTGGTTCCCTTGGCTATATTATTGAAACAATATCTCAGGCCCTTGAGATGCAGGAGATGAAGGATGATTGGCAGGCATGATGTTTCCTGATTCAGATCAAGGCAGGGAAAAGACAGCTTTGTGGTTCAGCAGGACTGAGCAGCGTAATGTACATGAGCCCTACTCAAGCGTGGTTACCTCATCCTACCAACCCCAAGCAGGCTAGGAGCTGTAGAGAAGAACGTTTCATTTCAGAAGTAAAAGGACTCGTTCTGGTCCTGTTCTTTTCTCAGGGTGTCTGCCACCTCCGAGTATCCATCATGGTACTTCTAATACAAAGGATAAGGAATTCTTTTCAGTTGGACAGGAAGCATCCTACAGCTGTGAGCCTGGCTACACCCTCGTGGGAACTAACCTTGTTCAGTGCACATCCTTGGGAACCTGGAGTTCTACCACCCCCAGATGTGAAGGTGCCAACAGCTCTGATCCATCCAAAGGAAACTCAACCCTTTCCCGATTCTTCCCATGCTAGCCTTGTCTTTTCTTTCCTAGTGAAATCATGTGATGCCATTCCCAACCAACTTCCCAATGGCCGTGTGCTGCTCCCTCCCAATTTTCAGCTTGGGGCAGAGGTTTCCTTTGTCTGTGACCCAGGGTGAGTGTGAGGATAGAGCCTGAATGCCCACCCGTAGCTACACACTGCCAAGTATGAACTCGAAAGACAGCCAATGGTTTCATTTGTTTTCTGTCCTTTTCTTCATCCTTTACGACTCAGAAGCCTGTCAATTAATCAAATCTTCTCTGCTTTTTCCCAGCCAGACTGGGAATAGTGTGTTCATCATCTGGAAGGGAAAACTTTGGATCAGAAGTGATGGCTCCTGTTAAGGAGAACAAGCTGTGGTTGGGGTTCAGTAGGATAAATTCCTTGGGGTGAACTTGTGAAACAAGATCTTTGATGTTTGCTTCTCCAGGAACTAAGGATGTTTGTGTCAAGTTAGTCAAGAGAATATTGAGATTTGGTTGTCACAGATGCAAGAGATAAAGGGGAAAAAAAAGAATACAGCTCCTAGGATTTGTTTTCCCTGTGTTTTTACCTAGTCTGAATTCGTCGTGTTGCTGAGCAGAGTCACAAGTAACATTTTCCCTTCAGCTGGAAATGCTTTAAAATGTAGATTCGATTCGACCTTGTGATGATTTGCTACCCTTATTGTTTAAGGTTCCGGTTAAATGGCAAATCTTCTAGTCAGTGTGTCGCAGAAGGAGTGACAGTAATCTGGAATAATAAGTTTCCTGTCTGTGAATGTGAGTAGAAAACAAAACTCATCAAATATAAATCGTGGCCTCTTGGTTTTTGTGAGTGCTTCCATACGTGTGTTGACTATATCCTACCATCCATGTGTATACTTTGAACACACAGAAGCCATTCTCTTCTGTGTTTTAGAATGCAGGTTGAAAGCATTTCATGGGTTGCACATTAAATGGCATATTGTATTGTGGATTTCATATATATAACAGTAAGGACTCTTGAAGGTGACCCATACTGAATCTGAGCCTAGTACTAATGTGTTTGAAAAGTTTGCTGTGTCTTCATATGCCATTTTTCTACCGAAGAGCTCCTCTCAGAGCCAAATGGAGGATAACTAGGAAATGTGGAAGTTGGCAAGCTTCCCTTCATTCTGAAACTTACCCAGGAAAGGTGTGCACACACCAAAGTAGCTATTAGTAACTAATATCCTTCATGCCCCTTCAGGATAGGTAAATAAAGGATATGAGGTCATGATTCAAATTTTCTATTCATTTTCTATAGCTTCCTTTCTCAATGGGGCCTGGCGTTAAGAGATGACAAAATCACCTGCAGTGTGTTTTTATGGGAAGGACTAAAAGTGGTCAAGCTACCTGTAGTCCTGTTGTGTGTTTAAAATAGGCACTGAATTTAAGATATGTTCCAGATTTTGTAATGGTGCCCTTCACATTCTTTTGTCCTACTGGCTGCTTACCACACTTGAGGGTACGACTTGCCTAAGGTCATACAGCTATTGAACGACAGTGGGTATTTGAAATTCATTAATATTCCATGAATTTATTATTCTCATGTGCCAAGTTTATCTTTTGTTCATTGTTCAAATTGACCACCACAGTTTACATGGAGGTAAGAATTTAGGAGATTGGGAATGAACGGTCTTTATGAGTAAGAAATAAATCCCACAGATTTCTGCTTCTGAAAAGAGTGATGTGGATCTTTTGTTTAAATGTGAATCCTTTTGTTGCAATGATCAGTACCCCTATATAATCCTTTTCCTCCTTTCCAGGGATTTCTTGTGACCCTCCTCCTCCTATCAAAAATGGTGGGAAAAGTCTTGTCTCTGGTACCCCTTCTCTGGGTACTGTTGTAATATACTCTTGCCCAAATCTCTTTCGCCTCATCGGAGAAAAGGCGCTTTTTTGCATAAGTAAAGACAACGTGACTGGAGTTTGGGACAAAGCTGCTCCTACATGTGAATATTTCAATAGAAATGCTAGGTGCACCGAGCCCAAAGTGCCCGGAGGGTACAAGAAGGAAGGATCTAGGACATCATACACACATGGCCGTTCTGTGACATTTGCCTGTCACGCCAACTTTACCATGAAAGGAAACAAAACTGTCTGGTGCCGAGCAAATAGCACATGGGGACCCACACCAGTGCCAACCTGTGAGAGTGGTAAGTATGACTCACATGAAAAAACAAAACCCATTCAAGAGATGGGGCTCTCCTGCCTTTGTGGCCAGAGCGTGCTTTCCATTCCTCTAAGAGAACCGTCTACACATATGAATGGTACGGGCAGAAGGGGGAAGCAAGAGGAACAGTGAACATTATAGCGTCCTGGTTTTTCTTCGGTGTAGAGGAATAGAACTGCCCCTCCAAACAAAACAAAACAAAAACAAAAAGCATCAAGACTGAGATCTAAGGAATGTGGTCCGAAGCCAGCCCAGGCAGGAAAGTCCATGAGACTCTTAACTCCTATTAAGCATCAAAAAAGCCCACAGTGGAGCTGTGGCTCAAGTGGTAAAGAGCTAGCGTTGAGCACAAAAGCTCAGAGACAGGGGTGCCTGCCCTGAGTCAAACAACAACAAAAAAAATCAACAACAAAGATCAAATGAGAAAAGGAGTTTGAGTATAAGAAAATTTAATTGAATTTACCTCATAATTGAGTGGGAAAAGTTTCCCAAGAATGGGATCAGTTAACCGGGTGATCTTTAAACTATATAGCTAAGTGTTAAAATAAGAGGAAATATGGAATCTACTACCAAAAAGACAACCAAGGGAAATAACATTCATCTATGTTTATCTGTTAATATAGTCTGGCCCAGGCAGGGCTGTGCGCTCTGTGGCCTTAGCAAACATGTCCTCAATAGATCTACTCTTCCCCCACGTCATCTCCTGAGCTGTCATATGTAAAATCAAATGACTTTGAAAGTACAGTCATTGTGTATCTCCATTTCCTTCTCATTTGATGTGGGTTGTATGGCTAACAAAAACTCTAAATCCAAATCTACATTTAATGCTATAGGTACAGGCAATGTTTGGTACAAGTTATACCAACACAACGGGGTATTTTAATTTTCTTAATAAAGAACAATGCTGAGAAATTTTAAGTAGATTAAAGATCTAAGAAACAACTTGTTCAAAACCAGGATCCCATCTATGTGTTAATGAGTTGATCAATCAATAGAGAGAGGGATGGATAATCTGGGAGGAAGGGGATCTTAAAGTAGTCGCAAATTGGCTTGTATGGAAAAACAAGCCTTTATACAGACTTAGAGCCAGGTGTCGTAGCTCATGCCTATCATCATAGCCATTCAGAAAGCTAAGATGAAGCCAGCCTGGGCAGATAAGTCTGTGAGACTGTTTTCTCCAAATAGCCAGAACAAACAAACAAACAGAAGTGGAGTTGTGGCTGAAGTTGTGGAATACCAGCCTTAACCAAAATAGCTATGGAGAGCACTGAGGCCTTGAGTTTAAGCCTTAGTACACCAGCACAAACAAATAAATAAATAAGGCTTATGTACTGACATAAAAAAGATGTTACAGACATCAAATACACTGTATCATTAAATAAAGGAAGCAAGACTAAAGTAATATATATGATATCCATGTATGCCTCATATATCTACATATGCATATACACCAGATATAAAAAGCCAATAAACAATATTCTAATGTCTGATAATATAACTCTCTAAATGATAGCATGTACCTTTTGGACCAGAGAACAATTTTAAATCTGAGATGAAAATAGCCTTTTTAACAATTAATATTTTTCTCAAGCCAAAGTATAGTGTAATCAAAGATAAGAACCTTACAATAGTCATGACAGGAAATGGATACAATGATACAATGTCTGTTTGACCTTTAAAGGCTCAATTCAGAGCTGAGCATGATGGCTTAAGCCTGTAAACCTAGTCATTTGAAATGTGGAGATTAGAGAATCACACTGAGAGGCCAGCCGGGGCATAAACGTTCATGAGCTCTCATCCCCACCACCTGTGAGGTGGAATGGCATGTATCTGTTACTACAGTGTAACCTAGTGGCTGGGTGCAGTGGTACAGGCCCGTCATCCCCAGAGGCACAGGCAAGAACAAGTAAGAGGATTACAGTCCAGGTCCCTGGGCAGCAAGTGAGACTCAAGCTCAAAAATAACCAAGGGGCTGGTGGTATGGTTCAAGTGGTAGAGCACTCAGGTATTAGATCCTGAGTTCAATCCCCTGGTACTGCCAAGAGAATTTTTTAAAGGCTGAGTTGAAAGTTAATGATGAACAGCGATACATAGACCACATGCCATTTATGTAACTCTTGGTTCTATGTCAGCATTTAGCTTGTGAAGGCTGTATTATCTGATGGCGTTTTTTTTTCTGATGTGTATAAAGATTTCCCGCTTGAGTGTCCGCCACTTGCTGAGATCCGTCATGGGTATCACACAGGGCAAAAGGCTGGCCACTATGCCCCAGGGTCATCTGTGACTTACAGCTGCCAGCCTGGCTACTTGCTTGATGGACAGAAGACTATTGAGTGTTTATCCTCAGGAGACTGGAGCTCAGACAGTCCCACTTGCAAAGGTACCCTAAAATCACAATCTAGTTGAAGAAATTGGATTGTTGTTCTGTTATTTGGTATGCTTTCTTATGTGTGGATGTTTTCTAGAGGCTCAGTGTGACCCTCTAGGACCATTTCCCAATGGGAAGGTAAAGGCACCTGCAAGTCCTCGGTTTGGTGTAACTGCGAGCTTCACCTGTAATGAAGGGTGAGTGGAGGGGAGGAGTGAGATTTCATTCATTTGGATTACACACACAGTATAAACCATGAAGCCTGCAGAAAGAAGGGATCTCTGTAAGAACAGCCTGGAGTGGGGTTTGTGGGAGAGAGGGAGGGGAAGGGGAGTAAGACAGAGGGAGGCCCAGACAGGGAGGGGGAGGAGAGAGAGAGAGAGAGAGAGAGAGAGAGAGGGCACTGATAGAAAGAGTAGGTGCTCAGAGATTAAGTGAACTTGTCTTTGATTTTTAAGTAAAGGCTGTTGTTCTTCAGCACAAGCTATCAACAGTTCAAAAACGACAACCCTCTCTTTGCAGGTATTGGTTAAAAGGCCAACCTTCTAGTCAGTGTGTGATTGTTGGACAAAAAGCTGTTTGGACCAAACAGCCTGTCTGTGAAGGTAGGTGAGGTAACTCACTGGTTTCTAAGGAATCTCAGAGGCTCAACAGGACACCACATACATTCATTATCATACAGGCTCACAACAAAGAACTAAAATCTTAAGGGAGTATGCTATCACTGACAGCCTCCATGGTATCAGCCTACAAGACCTCGTTATTCTCTGGCTTCCTCCAGTCCAGGAAGAGTTTCTAAGCTTTTCCTTCCCTCAAAACTACATAGAGCTGGGCATCAGTAAGCCTAGCAACTCAGGAGGCGGAGAAGTGAGGATCATGGTTCAAAGCCAGCCTGGACAGCAAAGTCTATGCAACTCTTACCTCCAATAAACTACTCAAAAAAGCTAGAAGTAATGCTGTGGCTCAAGTGGTAGAGCACTAACCCTGAGCAAAAGAAGCTCAGGGATAGCACTCAGGCCCAGAGTTAAAGTCCCAGGGCCTGCAAAAAACAAAACACAACTACATAGACATGCTAAGTACACAGCCAGGTTACTCACACAAAGCAGATCTTAGAAATAGATGGAGCCAGACTAGGTAAACTCAGAAAGGAAGTTCCAAGTTATCATCCCAGCTAGCTGCCTGGCTGGACTCATTCCAGATTCAAAATATCATTGCCTTTGAACCTAGTATGTGAGGAAGTTCCCAGCAACACTTAGGGCCTTCTTATCTGCAGTCTGTGATCATTTGTATCTCTCTGCAATTTCTCTAGAAATCCTTTGCCCAGCGCCTTCCGCTATTCTCAATGGAAGACATACAGGCAGCTCTTCAGTGCATTTTCCCTATGGAAGCAGAGTCACTTACACGTGTGACCCAGGCCCAGAGGGAGGAATCGAGTTTGTCCTTGTAGGGGAGAGCACTATCCACTGTACCGCGGGGAGCCTGATGTCTGGGAGCTGGAGCGCCCCTGCCCCACGCTGTGAACTCTCCACTTCAGCCATTCAGTGTTCACATCCCCATATTCTCAGAGGCCTAACATTATCTGTGCAGAAAGAGCAGTATTCCTATAATGAGACTGTGGTGTTCGCCTGTGAGTCTGACTTCACCATGAAGGGCAGCAGCAAAGTCCGGTGCAATGCCCAAGGAATATGGGAGCCACCAGCCCCGGTGTGTGAAAAGGGTAGGTGTTCCAGTACTCAGCAAAGGTGCTACGGACGCCTGGCTTTGAAAGAGCTAAGAGGCAGAGCTAAGGGACTTTAAACAGGGCCTTTTCCAGCTCCAGTATGCTCAGTCACACTAATGTCTGCGGCGTGCTTTCTTCATACCATCTCCACTGTTGTTTCAATGCTCAGAGGGAAAAATGTTAGAGATCACTAAGTTGTCCATTTCTTTAGGAAAGACAAAAAGAATCGGGGAGACCACTTGTTTGTGCTAAACGTTGATTTCTTAAAAGCCAAGTCATCAAAGCCTCACCCAGGGCTATGTCAGAAGCCCCTTCAAAGCATCTGAGATGGCACTTTAAGAATGGAGGTGACAGGAGAGGAGTTACGCTCAACAGGAAACTGAATAAGATCTGAAACTGCTTCAGCACAGAAAGGAAAACCAGATAGAGGGGAAAGCCACGTTCAAAAATTACTGCGAGATGCCCCTCTGTGCCAGGCAACTGCCACCATGGAATTCTAACATTCATGCCAATTACTTTGGGTTTCTTTCTGTTGTGCACCCGTGTGTGTGTGTGTGTGTGTGTGTGTGTGTGTGTGTGTGTGTGTGTGTGTACTTGAACTTGGGGCCTTGCATTCTTGCCTGGCTCCATCTTTGTTGTTGTTTGTTGGAGCTAAGAATCTTTCACGTCTGTCTACCCTGATCTCAGCTTGAGAATAAGCAGCTCCAAGAGTAGCTTGGCTTATAGGCATGATCTATCTACCATCTACCGCGCCTGGTTTCTGTGGTTTACATTAAAAGAGGATTTTTGTATTTTTCCTTTGCTTTAGCATGCCAGGCCCCTCCTGAAATTCTCAATGGGCAAAAAGAAGGGAAACACATGGTCCACTTTGACCCAGGAACATCTGTAAACTACATCTGTGACCCTGGCTATGTGTTGGTGGGAGAAGAATCCATACATTGCACCCCTGAGGGGACGTGGTCCCCTGCTGTCCCCCACTGCAAAGGTACCAGACCTCAAGTACACTTGATATCCTGGCTTTAAGATTACCTTGAGTTGGTTTCTCATCCTTGTCTCTTTTCTTAGTGGCAGAGTGTAAACCCATAGGACCACAACTCTTTACAAAACCCAAGGACCAGTTCATTAGACCAGCTGTTAATGCTTCTTGTGGTGAAGGGTGAGTGAAGACTGAACATCAGTCAGGCCGGGCTTATCAGTGCTCACTGCGATCTCTTATGTAAGGGTTTCACTCATGGACTATGGACCCCACTAGTTCTCCAAGCATGGAAACTAGACAATGGATGGATAGTATGGAAGCTGGCTACCTTCTGTTGTTGATGATGATGTTGCTTTTCCTATTTCACCTTGTCCTGAAAGTGTTCAGTCTGCTTGGAAGCCAATAGCTTTTGCTTAGCTTCCTGTGACCCACATTGCTGAATGACCTGACTCTTTATCTCTAGGTCCCGATTGAGTGGGAGTGCTTACCAACTGTGTCAAGGTACAGTTCCTTGGTTTGTAGAGATTCGCCTTTGTAAAGGTGAGTAGCAAAAAACGACAGGATGTGCAATGGTTGAGAACTGTGTGCTCCCTGGGAATTGTCTGTGTTAAGCCAGGCTTTGGGGATTCATGCATTTGATACTGTTTTGTTAACTTTGTCAGCAGCTATGGTTGCATGGCTGAGCTGTGTTTTTATTTTCACCCCTTTATTCTCGCCAGCTAAATGAATACCTCGCTGTGGTTTAGGGTGATATTAATGATGATGATGAATGTGTTCACCCACTATTCTTCATTTGAGATACACTGGAGTTTTAGTGATTAAGGAAGGATCTGGATTCAGATTCTGCTCCTACTGCTTCATAGCTGTTTGACCTTAGGCAACTCACATAGAGTCTCTAGAATTCTAGTCACTCAACTGTACATCTACAGAAACCAAAATTCTTGCAATTAAATGGTACTGTCCCTACTTTCTGAATGATGAAGCTGCCTGATGCTAACTAGATGTTCATTCAACAACAAATATTCCTTGCTAACCATATAGATTATCATAGAGCAAAGAGATTATACTCAAAAAAAGGACATTTCATTTCCCTATTGGTTATTTAAAAGAATTCTTTTTTTCAGTAGCAATTGATTCCTAGGCCTTACTGCCTCATGTAATATGAACTTGATCAGCGTATTCACTTAATGAAGATGTGTCTCTCCTCTGGAATCTGCTTACATTGTATTTTATATACATAATGAACTTGGATATGACTCCCATCAGGAAAATCCGTTCGTGCCCTGGATCATAACCAGCTTCTCTTCTCTTCTGTCATGTGAACAAACTTCTACAGTATCTTTTTGTCTCTCTAGAAATCACCTGCTCACCACCCCCTGTTATCTATAATGGGATACACACAGGAAGTACTTCAGAAGATGTTCCCTATGGGACAACAATCATGTATACATGTAACCCTGGGCCAGAGAAAGGAGTGCACTTCGACCTCATCGGGGAGCGTACCATCCGATGCACAAGCAAGGACGGAGTGAGAGGCAGCTGGAGCAGTCCAGCTCCCCTCTGCAGGCTCAGGCTCCCTGTGGTCCAGTGCTCAGAGGTGATCATTGACAATGGATACACGACAGCTGTCAAGAAGGCATCGTATGTCTACAATGACAGTATAACAATCAAGTGTAATCATGGCTACATTTTGAATGGCAGCAGCCAAATTCGTTGCAAAGCCAATAACACCTGGGATCCTCATATACCAACTTGTGAAAAAGGTAAAAAAAAAATGCAATGAGAGTTTCTTTCAAAGCATTTATTTATTAATACTTGTTTGTTATCTCCACCCAAAGCTAGACTCATACCAAAAGGCCATGGAAAAGGAGCATGGGCTACTTTCCTACCTTCCCATTGTTCTCTTGTACACAGTGTGTGTTCCTTACGCAAATGCCCACCCCCTGGGATGTGGGATATACGCAGGATGGACAATGAGATAAGCTTTCTAAAGGGACTTATTTCTTCACAAGAGAAGAAAGCATTCCATGGTGGATGAAAGCTACCCTAGCCTTGGCTTCAGAGTTTTAGATTATGTTGTGCCCTGGCAGTTCTAAGGCTGAAATCCCTCTGTGTTTACGTGGGGAGTTTTCTCTCCAGGCTGCCAGGTTCCTTCCGAGATTCATCACGGTCGGCATACAGGTGGAAATATGATCCTCTTTGTGTCTGGGATGTCTGTAGACTATACTTGTGACCCTGGCTACATGCTTGTGGGAAACAAATCCATCCACTGTATGCCTTCAGGACAGTGGAGTCCCGCCCCACGATGCGAAGGTACTTTTGGCTCCAGAGTTGTCTTTCTTTCTGCTGAGATGCATCTATAAGTAACTCCAACTTTGCTCTTCCAGAAGGATGTGAACCTGTGCAGCTTCCACGTGGTTCACCTGTGAAACTAGTGAATATGCCCTGTCAAGATGGGTAAGTGTGAAACAATGCATGCCGAGAAAGGAGTCACTATGGATGGTGTATTAACTCCACCAAAGCTTGTCAGGCAGCCCCTCCAGGGGTCCCTCCTCAGCACACACAGCCAGCAGCCACCTTAGGTTCCAACTCTGACTCCTTCATGTCTTTTTGATATTGGAAAGGGTTTTAGTCTGTCTCTGTCAACGTTCTTACGTAGAAGTACCTCTGTACTTGGGGTTTGAAGAGGCTAGGTGGTAGAAATGTGATCTGGGGAAGAGGACCCACATTATAATCTGTCTCTCTGTAGGTACCAAATGACTGGCTATGCTTATGAGAAGTGTCAAGATACTAAGAATGGGGTTTGGTTTCAAAAGATTCCTGTTTGTACAGGTAAACTGGGGCGTGGGGGGAGGGAACTCTCCATACACCTGACATGTTAGAGAGGGCAAGATACTGAAGAGCTAATTGGCAAACCTGTGATAATTTAGTGTGTGGCTAACACTAATACTGGGAAGCAGATTGTTTAGTAAGAATGAATATATGTTATATATCTGCTCATTTTACTATGTGGAAAAATTGTAGCCTATACTTTCAGGATACCAAAACATCATTGTCTTTCTGACCTGCTAAGACTTTATCATATTTTCTGAATTTTTTGTATTAAAAAATCAAGTATGAGTATGTATTATTGGAATGTTTTATGAGTGTGCATTGCACACACAATCACATTTAATGGAGTCTTTCAACACAATTATAATCCAGGCTCCAAAGTACAGACAGTTGTGAACATAATGATGCAGTTGCACGGTGATATCTGTGCCTGAATGCAGACATTTGGATGTACTAGATGAAGTTGAATCCTCTAATATCTCTTCTGCAGTTATTCACTGTCAGCCTCCTCCCATGATTGCCAATGGGAAGTACAGAAGCACAGTGGAAGAGCCATTCCTATATGGAAGTAAAGTCTTTTATGAATGTGACCCGGGATTCTATCTTCTGGGAGAGAAAAATCTACAGTGCAGCAAAGATTCTAAAGGACAAGGATCCTGGAGTGGGCCTCTCCCACAGTGTTTACACTCTCCTGTAACTCACTGCCCTAACCCAGAAGTCAAACACGGATACAAACTCAATAAGACACGTGCTACCTATTCCCACAACGATATAGTGCATGTTGCCTGCAATCCTGGCTTCCTCATGAATGGTAGTCACTTGATAAGATGTCACACAGATAACACATGGGTACCAGGCATACCAACATGTATCAAAATGGGTAAGTCCTTGAAGGGATGAATTCAAGAAGGGTGTTGAATATGCACTTGTATTCAGCCTAAGGAAAATCATCTCGAAGCCAAAGCAGTTATAATGTTATGTCAGATGCCTTTTTCCTTCTTCTCACTTCTATCTGGATCGTGCTTTCCCCCATTCCTTTCTCGTTATATTTAGCAACAGCACATGAAAGGACGATGTTGTTAGCTTCCAAATTGATGGGGCCTCCAATTTTACTATTCCTATGAATTGAGATTTTGGAGGGGAAAAAAAATCTCAATTTTTTTAGGCACATGTCTGACAATAACATTGCTTGATATTTTGATATTTAAGGTTACTGTATCAGTGGAAAGACCTGTGAATAATCTGGAAAATGAAATTCGCCTTCAAAGCTACTGAACTGTATTTCTTGTAGTGTCCATTATCATCGGGGACATCTTTGATCCTGTTGGTGGTTCTCTAGAGCCGAGGCTGCCATTTGAGAATTCAACTGATTTCAGTTCCCAGAACCACTCCCTTTAATCAGCACAGTGGTCTTATATGAACGGAAATCTGTTTCTACATTCCAGGACTTTACAGTGAACTTGCAGTGAGGTTTCCAGTGGCTAGAACTTAGGACCAAACTTTTCTAATTTGTTACATTGGGTTGTTTTACTTCCTGCTTCTTGGGGGCATTGAATGAAGCCTGGACTGCATCCTGATCTCTATTTAAATGGAAAAACATTACACTGGGTGGGGTCCGCAGCCACTGATGTTTTAACTTCATTTTGATACTTTTCATCGGATTATACATGGCACACAAGAAATGCCTGTTTGCCCAGCGTTGCTTGCTCTAGTTGGAATGAATGTCTCTGGTTAACAATTAATTAGCCAATAGGCATAAGTATGCCCTTGTGCTGACCTAAAGATCTTTTCTTTTTGCACTCTAAGCTTTCTTAGGCTGTCAGTCTCCCTCTACAATCTTCAAGGGGAATCACACTGGTGGAAATATAGCACAGTTTTCTCCCGGGATGTCCATCCGGTACAGCTGTGACCAAGGCTACCTGCTGGTGGGAGAGGCACTCCGTGTTTGCACACATGAGGGAATCTGGAGCCAGCCTGCCCCTTACTGTAAAGGTACTTCATCTAATTCTGTTGCTGCTGTTCTTCCTAGTGCACTAATTTGTTCCAAAATAGATATGTTCATTTAGACACTTCCAACTTAAAATCATCAAAGTAATGGCTCACTTTATCAAATGCATAGAACTAAATCAATACATTAACACATCCAAGTATCTTTAAAAAATAAGATAAAATGACTTGGCCAGGCACTGGTGGCTTACTCTTGTAATCCTAGCTACTCAGGAGGCTGAGATTTGAGGATTGCAGTTCAAAGCCAGCCTACTCAGGAAAGTTATTGAGATTTTTATCTCCAATTAACTACCAAAAAGCCAGAAGTAGAGCTGTGGCTTATCTGGTAGAATGCTAGCTTTTAGCAAAAAAAAGGTCAGGGACAGCACCCAGCCACTGAGTTCAGCTCCAGGATCAGCACACACATACACAAAAAGCCTTTTCGTTATATTCTGCCCAGCTACTGACCCTTATGGAGTCATTTCAGATATAGAAAGTTAAAGTGGTTTTATAAACTGAACTAAAGCACAGATTGTATTCACGTTATAGTGATGGTTGCAATGAGTGCATATGAAAAACACCATTACAAGAACATGACAAGCATTTTGAGTTCATTTGCTCTTATAGGCAGTGTGGGTACAATGTGTATAAAAATCTCATAAAGTGATTTTCATTTTCCCAACAAAGTATAGGAAATACAAGCAGTAAGTTAACATCTAATATTCTAGAGTACTTTTTACAAAATGCTAGATATTATGCACAGGCCTTACCTTAACCTTGATAAGTTCCATGGAAGATGGTTCCATTATTATTTCTTTCTCATGGGTGGGGTCCTTGTGGCATAGAGAGATTTCTAACTGGCTTAGGAAGTAGTCAATATTCTAGTCAACGATCTTATACTATTGACCTCTACGCTGAACAAATGAAAGAAGAAATAACAAAGCATGTAAGACTAGAAGTAAGACTAGAAGTGCAGAGCAACAGTAATTATGATACTTCCCATTCTAAGAAGACATTCAAAATATCCAAAACTGTTAGCATAGACATAGAGGCACAAAAAAAAAAAAGAAACCAATCCAGCTTAAATTATCTTCAAGTGGTTGAAACAGGTGGCTGAAAGACACTTTGCATACTGAGAATGAAATAAATTGGTCTCAGGAAGCTTTCCATTAGGAGAAACTTTACTTTCTTGGTAAAAGAGCGAACTATAATCTGCTTCAACTAGATACTTTTCATTGCAGAGGTAAACTGTAGCTTTCCTGAAGAGATCAATGGAATTCAGAAGGGACTGGAGCCAGGGAGAGTGTATCAGTATGGAGCTATTGTAACCGTGGAATGTGAAGATGGGTACATCCTGGACGGCAGTCCCCAGAGCCAGTGCCAGGGTGACCACCAGTGGAACCCTCCCCTAGCGGTCTGCAGATCAAGTAAGTACAGGGTACTTCACGGATGTTTGTCTCAGTCAAGTACAATGTTTGAGACTTCCAAGACTTCAATTGGCACAGGTCTTTGACCAATGCAATTATAACCAATTATCTTGAAGTTAGGTATCTATTCTAGAAAAAGTATATCTTTCTGAGAGTGAGGGACAAAAATAAAAGGAAATCAAAAGAGGGGAGCTCAGTTAAGAAAAGCAAACAATGCAAACAAAATTAACAGTCTTCCATTTTGTAAAGAGCTGTAGCAGAGATTTCCCATCTTGTTGCATTCTATCCTGAAAAAAAATCACTAATTATAAAGTTGAATATGTTGGCTTTTTACCCATACAGAACTCTCCCAACTTACTTAACTAAAGTGAAAAACAAATCAATGAGTTATTACATAATTTTTTTTAAAAGTTGTTATAGCCAGGCACTGGTGGCTCACGCCTATAATCCTAGCTATTCAGGAGGCTGAGTTCTGAGAATTGCAGTTCAAAGCCAGCCTGGGCAGGAAAGTCTTTGAGATGCTTATCTCCAATAAACTACCAGAAAACCGGAAGTGGCACTGTGGCTCAAGTGGTAGAGTGCTCGCCTTGAGCTGAAGAGCTGAGGGACAGCACCCAGGCCCAGAGTTAAAGCCCCACGACCAATCAAAACAAAGTTGTTATAGCTCAATGATTTAATAGTTTATAAGCAGACTGGGAAGGGAGCTGAGTGTTTCACAGCACATAATCAGAAGATAAAGGAACTTGGGGGACAATGGATAGTGATACTACAACTGATGTCTTTATTTTATATTCTCCTTAGGATCATTGATTCCGATTCTTGGTGGTAAGTTTCCCTAAGCACTTGGACAAAAGCTATTATTACGATGTTTCGTAAATACATATACAATTAGACACTCCATATTTTTCCTGTTAATATTTTTTTTCACTTTAACCCACTGTATATGATCTTCTTTGGTATTTTAAGTATATTTTAATGAACATGCATGTTACAAAATACTTCTTTAGCATAGCACTGGAGAACTGACTTAAACCGCCATCTAGTACTGGTTCCTAAGTTAGAAGGTTGATTTTCATTAGCTTTTGGTATTTAAATCCCTGCTGCATGATTTAGTGCAGCAGAATTAGAATTCAGCTGCCTTACGATGTTGTAGCAAAATAAATTTGTCACCAAGAGTCAAATGTTGTTAGACAAAATCATGAGATCCTGGCATCCTATGTGCCTAATTTCAACCTAGTGATAATAATATTACAAGTAAGTCATTTAAGGATTCAGGTGGACCTGTTGCAACAATGAGAAGTACAAAATGTCATGTCAAAAACGAGCTTTACAATGTCGGTGTGGGGGGGGGGGAGGGGAAGGATTGGGGGGGGGAGGGGGGAGGCTGGGAAGGGAGGGGAAGGGTAAATAAAGGAGGAGGCTGCAATGCTTGGTAAGAAATGTATGCATTATCCTGCCCATGTAATTGTAACCCCTCTGTACAGTATGTTCTCAAATAAAATAAAATAAAATTTAAAAAAAAAAGAAAGAATATTACAAGTAAAATGGAAAGTAACAGAGAAGCTCTATGGAAATTTGACTGAAAATCTGTGGTCATGTGCTTGGTACTTTAGCAATTAAATGAACTGGATCAAATCAGGAAGAAAAAAAAAATCTTAAGTTCAATTGTAATCCTCCAGGAATTCAGCATTTCTGGTTGAGAAAAGGTATAGCCTTCACAATGCTTCATAATAGGTCATATTCTTGTGACATTTGAAATTCACCGCTTCCCACCCTCCCCCCCCCACTCCAGGTATTTGTGCCGGTTCAGCACTGCTGATTATCTTGGCTGTCATCGCCTTATTCATGATAATAAAATACAGAGGACGGTAAGTTCAGAAGCCTTGTGTGTGTTGCTAGGGAAATAGGGATCTGAAGAGAGACGGTGGCTGTGTCTATTTAGTCTTCTTTTGTTCTGTAGCTACTGAACTGTACCTACTGTGATTACCCCCACATTAGACTCACTCACAAAGCCTAGTAGTAGGAGATGCACTCTGACAGGAAGGTGATCACAGGTCATGAGGCAGATCTTCCATACACTTGCATGTCATGACAGGGAGCTGAGTTGGTCCTTCAGGATCTCAGGCAGGGAAGTCTTCAGATTTGCATTTTCAAATGCCGGAGTAGGATCCAGCTCTCCACTAAGGGAGCAGTGGCAGGGATTAGGAGGAGGCACACAGGTAAGAGATATCTTTGCTATTGACCTGATTAGGATTTCCAGGACTTAGTGATGTGGGGAGCTAGGGGTACACAGAACAACTCCTGTGATGGTGATCCAGTGTCTCACCAAGAGAAGAGAGGAACAGCTCATGGAGAAATATAACCAGCTCCATCTAGCCTATATTCTGAGTTTGGTGATGGAGGGCTTGGGGGAAGGGCGTGGGATCAGGCAGATGTCACCAGTATCACACTGAAAGCCTTGACACTAAGAAGAACAGAAAAAGTAACAAAGTAAAAAAGATCGATGAGACCAGACTGAGCAGGAAAAAAACCACTCCGTTCCATAAATTTCAAGAAAAAGAAGGGTCTCAAAAAAAAAAAGTCTGTTATTTGTATGACTTTCCCCACAGGAAGCTAGAAGATTAATTTTGGCTAAAAGTAATTAAAAGTTTAAATAAATAGAAACTGTGCTCTCTATCTCTTTCCTTCATGCTACTACTAACTTTGCTATCAGACCACTGCATGTGTGGGGAACACTGAAAGTTTAGGAATGCTTACAATGCAAACACTTCCTAGAGCTCCAGTATGTTTATTATTGTTTGCTCATTTGTTATCCATATACTGTCTTTAAATGCCCTGATATGAACAGAGCATATATGTGATAGTAAATTCCTGTCTTGTTCTCTTGTTTACATTTTCTAACTTATTTTACTTTATTAATTAATTAATTTATGTTGTAATTGTTGTTTTTGGTGGTGGTGGTGGTGTGTGTGTGTGTGTGTGTGTGTGTGTGTGTGTGTGTGTGTGTGTGTGTGTGTGTGTGCTGGTCCTGGGGCTTGAATTCAAGGCCTAAGTGCTATCCCTGAGTTTTGGGGCTCAAAGCTAGTGCTCTACCACTTGAGCAACACCTACACTTCTGGCTTTTTGGTAGTTAATTGGAGATAAGAATCTCACAGACTTTCCTGCTTGGGCTAGTTTGAATTGTAATCCTCAGATCTCCGCCTTTTAAGTAGCTAGGATTATAGGTGTGAGCCACCAGAGCCTAGCTTCAGTTTATTTTCTAATAATTGAAATAATATTTGACATTTGAGCTCTCTAGAATCCTTTTAATAGAGGAGTAATAAACACTTAAAAATCAATATTTAAAAATATATTTAAATGCTTTGATTTAAATAATTAAATATTTAAATAAAAGTTTAAATGTTTAAAATTAAAATGTTTAATTTTAATTAAATATTAGAATCAATATTTTAAAAATTAAGTATTTTTAAAACAAACATTTGGAAAAGATTATGTTATTCTTTTCTAGGCTATCTAAGGTACTTTAACAAAGCCTAAATCTCACAGGGGCCTAAAATTTTCCTTCTGTATTATTCTTAATGTGTCTCCTATAAACTGATTTCTTAAATATGCTAGTATGAGACATGGTGTAAGGTTGCCTCAGCAGTAGTTTTCTTTCCCCACTGGTTTTTTCAAAGCCCTATATGATACTATAATCACATTTTATTGTCCTTCACTAATTTTGCTAAAGTGGTTTTAGAAGTATAGCCAGTCTATGGATGGAGATCAATAATAGAGTGTTTTCTTAGCATGACTGAAAGCCTGGGCTTAATCCCCATCAATGCACAGAGACAAACAGAGATAGACTGATGGACAAACACACAAACACACACACACACACACACACACACACACACACACATGTGCTTTCGAAGAATCAAATTAAAACACTGTCTTGTGTCTTAAGTTTTCAGTGCTGCATCAGTATGTGAGAATTTCAACTTAAACATTAAATATGCAAGTTTCCTTTTAAATTGTAATATAAAACTGATCCCACATGCTAAAATAAAAATTGCTTTTTTCAATTTTTCTTCTTTCAATTTGAGGATCATTGTTGTTAGTTTTTTTTGTTTTTTTGGTTTTTTTTTTTTTGGGGGGGGGTCCAGTTGTGGGGCCTGAACTCTGGGCCTGGGTGCTGTCCCTCAGCTCTTCAGCTCAAGGCTAGCGCTCTACCACTTGAGCCACAGCACCACTTCTGGCTTTTTTCTTTTTGCTTATGTGGTGCTGGGGAATCGAACCCAGGGCCTCATGCACTGCAAGGCAAGCGCTCTGCCACTGAGCCACCTTCCCAGCCCCCATCGTTGTTAGTTTTAAGAGTCATCCTAGACATGGAATAAAGCTATCTACCACCTGCTTCTGACATGGTCAGTTAGCAAAGTAACAAATTATTTATTCTCATGTGCCATTAAATAAAAGGAAGTTACAGTATTTACTTCATATTAAAGACAGTAAGATGAAATCATCTGTGCAAAGTACTAAAAGTTGGGAAAATGACAAGCAAACAACTGATACATCTTTATCGTAATCATGATCAAGAAATAAAGTTGATTATTTTAACTTTTTTTTCTTATCTCTTCCATTTAGCCATTATTATACAAATGCAAAGCCTAAAGAAGGAGTGCTTCACTTAGAAACACGAGACGGGTATTCTGTTGATCCGTACAACCCAGCAAGCTGAGAAGAAGACAAATTGGTATCTAATGTCCCTGAAATATTTTTATTAATGCCTATGTCCAGACTGCCTTCATTTTTAATCAATAACTACTAAAAATATATATGGTTCTATCTCACAGGTGTCAATCATCATGCCAGTGCATTAATCATTTGCATAGTTACTATTGTCAACTCGTGTTCTTAGTTTTTAAACCTATTTGTCCATTCAACAAATACTAATAAAATGACTAAGAGCAAAACAAAGAAACTAAGAACTGTTATGAAGAGAAATAGGCCAAAGGGGACAGAGAAAAAGACAGTTGCAAGGGAAGACCTCACTGAGAAAGTGCGCGTTGTATAAAGACTTCAGGGAAGCAAAGGGCCAGCCGTGTGACTCCGTTGAGAAGGAGCACTCCAAAAAGAAAGAGCAGCCAGAAGGTGGTGGGTGCCTGATGTGTTGGAAGCACCCCTCAGGTGGCCAGTAAGCATATCATAGACAAGGAGGAGAATGGTAGAAATCCAATCAGAGAGAGAAGAGGTAAGGATTGAGAGAAGGGGTAATGATTGTAGAGAGAATGCTAGATTGTCCTAATAACTTTGGATGCTGACATGGGAACCCTTGGCGTTTTGAGCCTAAGTGCTACATAATCACTTCAACGGCTATGTGAGAAAGAGACTTTAGGAGAGCAAGGGTGCGTGATGGGGAATCAATTACAATAATTTGGGCAAGAAACTGGCAGGTTCTACACACATTTTCTTTTAGAGATAATAATAATAAGAGTTGCAGACGGTGTTTACCAGAATATAAGGGAGAAAGAGAGGCATCCGTGAAGCTGCCCTGGTGGCATCATTTTTGGCTTACGCATCTAGAAGGATAGACTTGGCATAAGATAACTGAGTGTGAAGAGTGAGGCTAGAAGAGAAATCGGGACTTAAGACTTTGGAGATGCTAAGCGTGAGATGTCTCATGGACATCCAGCTCAAAGTGTCCAGAAGGCCAATGATGCACAATTAGCTCTGCGCTGTGAACAATAGGCCAGGCTGGACATACACATTTGGACCTTGTAAGCATATGGATAAACTAAATAAGATCTGAAGATCATCTAGGAGGTAACAAGGAGGAAAAAAAAAAACTAAGCCCTGAGCCTTGGCTCTTGCAATATTAAAGTCATAGAGAAGAGACCAATAAAGAATGGAAGCAGCAGCTTGAGCTAAAGCTGCAAAATAGACTATGCTAAAGTCAAGTGAGGAGAAGTTTATAGAGGAAGGGACAACCAACTTGGTCAAGTGTTACCAATTAGTCAAAAAAGATAGCTGGGTGCCAGTGACTCACACCTGAGATCTTCAGATCTCAGCCTCCACGTGGCTCAAAGCCAGCCCAGGCAGGAAACTCCAAGAGACTCTTATCTCCAATAAACTACTCAAAAAAGCCAGAAGTGGCACTGTGGCTCAAGTGGTAGAGGGCTCGCCTTGAGCAAAAGAAGCTCAGGGACAGCACCCAGGCCCAGAGTCTAAACCCCCAACCTGGAGGTTGAGGGGTTGGGGGGGAGATGAATAAACTGAATATTAGAATGTGTCTTAGCACCACACAATTTGTTGGCAAACTTAACAAGAACAGTTTTGATGGAGAGAAAAGGGGCAGAAGACTGAGTAGAATGAGCTTAAGAGAAACTGAAGGCCAGGCACCAGAGGATCATACCTGTAATCCTAGCTACCCAGGAGGCTGAGCTCTGAGGATCAAGGTTCAAAGCCAGCCCAGGCAGGAAAGCCCATGAGACTCTTATCTCCAATTAACTACCAGAAAACCAGAAGTGGTACTGTGGCTCAAGTGGTAGAGCCCTCACCTTGAGCTGAAGAGCTTAGGGACAGCGTGCAGGCCCAGATTTCAAGCCCCATGTCCAACCAAGAGAGAGGTGGGGGGAGGGAAGTGAAGGAAGAGAAATTGTACATATTAACTATAGACACCTCCCTCCCCTGTTTTCCCATCAGGAGGACCAGATAAATAGAGCAATAACATGACTTAAGTGGGGAAAAAATAAATAAGAAATCAAGGGAAAGAATTCTGAAGAATGATTAAATATAGTGTGGCTTTTATAGGCTGATGGGAATGATCTAATGATTGTAATGAATGATCTAATCATTTAATGAATATAATAGAAGGCAGGGGAGAAGGAAACATGCTGGGGCAAATTTGGCTGCATTAGAGAATGCAAGACCTGCTTCTTGAACAGAGGAGTTACCCTGAAATGGTCAAGACTGAGTCACTGCCCTGAAATGGTCAAGGACTGAGTCACAGAAGAGAAGTCAGAACACAGGGCATAGACAAAGATGGGTGGGAAGGGGGATGGGAAATGCACATGGTGAAGTTCTCTTCCAGTGGTTCTGTTTCCAGAACGGAGCTGAGTTGAGAAAGATGTTAGGGATTAAGTATGTTGCTAGTGAACAAGGAGACAGACCCTGTGAACAGTCTGCCAGAAGTTCCATGGAAAAACTGGGGATTATTCATTGGAAGGTTACCTTGGCAGGCGTTATGCTGTGGGTCTTTCATGCCTTGCCTCATTTGGCCCTTACCACCGCTTTGAAAAGATGGCTGTTATCTCCAGATAACACAGGATTCATTTGCAAGATGAGAAAAACTAAGGTTGGAAGCTTTCTCTGGAACAAAGTCAAGAATTCAAGTTCAGACTACTTTCTCCTACACAACCACCTCTGCCCCTTATTTCACTAAGACCAATAAGACTTGTGTGTGTCCTAGTGAAAGATTAAGTACCATAGCAAGGTATAAAAAACCCCTTGGGCCATTAAAGAAGAAAGAGCTGCTCGCTGCCAGGGAGTAGAAAAAGGAAGAGGAAAACAGGAACATCGTGGCACAGGGGTCCCTAAATACAACTCTGTGAGGCCTCGTGGTAAAGCTATTGCGTTTTAAACATCTATGGATGTTTATATAGATGTTTATACAAGTGAGAAATAGAGTATTTCTTCCATTCTCCCTCATTTAGCATTATATATTTGTTCTAGATCATGTCAAGTGAGAAGTACTTCTTAACAGAATGATAGCTTCTTAGAAGCTTTACAAACATTCTAGCTGACTAGTAGGTTGAACGTTAATGCCTTCCTTATTTACACTTTAACTTTCACTGCTGCTATTCATGCTGAACAGAAATGATCTATTTCAGTGTGCTTCCTGGATTGGGATCCAACTGCACATGAACTCAAGAACCTCAAATATCAGCAAGTCTCTTTCTGTGGTCTCCACATCAGTGAAATGATTTCATAAGCTAAAACTTTCCCTTTGCTCTTACTCTCCAGAACAAAGAAACCTTGCTAGATGGTACAGATGGAGCCCAGCTTTCTACTGGGTGTGGTACAAGAATTTCTGAAGCTCAACTTGAGATCCACCGGAAGCCTTATGATAAAGTATGGTTATGATGGACACACCTTATTGGGAACACTGGCTTTATTTTTAATAGTAGCTTCCTTCTCTGATGTAATTAATTAGTCCCATTTGGTTGGAACATTTCTCAGGACACTGAATATTCTTTGTCATAGTCACTTGGTAATCTCAATTTGCACATGGTTTTGAAGTTGTTGTAAAGTTATACTTATAAATAGTTAGCGTTGGAAGTGGGGTTGTGGCTCAAATGGTAGAACACTCGCCTTGAGCTGGAGAATTCAGGGACAGCACCCAGGCCCAGAGTTCAAGCCCCACAACTGACAAAAAAATAATAATAAATAAATATTTAGTGTACGATTAGAGTGTTAGATACTTCATAGTTTTCTTTCTCATGAGCTTCAGTAGTTGGTAGGATGTAATTCATAAAGTGTACATAAGCCGTTAAAATAAATTGTATTTGTTTAAAAACAGACTTGCCTTATGTGACTCTGTCTTTCTGGAGTCAATGAACTCTTGAATGATAAGCATAATCTTAGAGTTTCTAGAGCTCATGTTTAATAGTTATTCGTTCTGGACATAAACACTTGGCCATTCTTGCCAAACTCCAATTCACAAATTCTACCTACACCCCCAAGACTCATCCTTATTTTCCAGCCAACACCTTCCTCCAATCCATCCATTCTTTCCCACTAGATACTAGTTGTCGCTGCTGATTTCCTTTTATTCAATTATTTAAACTATTGAGAAACAAAACTCTCCTCACTGATGATTTCCTCTGTTCATCTTCTCCTAGATCAGATACGCTCCCAATCCACATTTTTTGTTTTCATTATTTTGGGTGTTACTGAGGTTTGAAATCATGGCCTTGAGCTTGCTAGACGGGCACTCTGCCATTTGAACTACATTTATAAAATCACTTCAGATACTGCTTTCATGATTTTCAGATATATACTCAGAAATGGAGTGCTTTTCTACATCTTTTGTTGTTTTAGTTATTTTTTAATGGAGTTGTACATTTATGCCAGGACCAGCCTGGACCGTGAATCTCGAATTTCTATGTCCAACACAGCTGGGATGACAGGTGCATGCCACAGTGCTCAGCTTTTACTGGTTGAGATGAAGGTCTCAGTAAACTTCTTTCCGCTATCCAGCACTGAGCTGTAACCCTCCTGATCTCCACCTCTCAATTAGCTAGAATTGCAGCCTGAGCCACCACAGCTACGTAGCTGATTTTTGTTTTTTTAAATGTGGTTTCAAAAATACAAGATATTTAACTTGAAAATTACCATTGTAACCATTTTTAAGTACACAGCTCATGGTACATCCTGAGATTTGTTATGTTGTTATGTAGCAGATCTCAGGAACTTTTATTTTAATGTTTGTGAAGCTGAGACTTCCTGTCTACTAAACAAATGTATTTCTCCTGGTCTTCCATTACCACTTCCTGTTGCTGTGACACTGACTGCTTTAAATAGCTTAGAGTATGGAACATTCCAGTATCCACTTCCAGGATACGCCTGCATGACCTAACTTCCTCTGAGGAGGTTACTCCTTCTTAAAGTTCTGCTGCCTTCCAATCATGATGACCAACTGGGAATGTAGCCTTCACCACAGGGGTGTGTGGGTAACACTTGTAACCACAGAAC